GCAGAGCCACTTGCTGGTCTCTCCCCAGGAACTTGCCAATTCGCGCACCGCGGGCCTGATTCAGTTGGCAGCAGGCAGCGAGGTCTGAGCGGGCGCCGGGGAGGACTGTGAACCCCCAGGATATCCGAGGAGGATCTGTGCCCGCAGCCGAGGTGCAAACACCACCCCGAGGATGGGTTCCAAAATGGAAGTCCTCTGGGAAGCCTCTCCAACACCAGATTTATATACGCAGCGTTTCATGAAACAACCCGCTTTTTAATACGTTTCACCTTTCTACCCCAGTCACGCTCTGTCCCTCCCCGCCCCCGCTCTCTCCTCCCCCCAGCCTGCAGAGTCAATCCTTTATGGCACTTCAATTTCTCTGGTTTCTAGAGCAGAGCCTCAAGCGCTAGCCAAGCCCACGGGGAAAAGAGGCCGCAGGGACTTTCTTCCAGGATGTGTTGGGATTCGGGGAGACTCAAATCCACCGGCAGAGTGCGGTCCCAGTGGCCTGTAACTGTGGGAGGTGCTGGTGGCTTCTCGGGGCTGCACCGCCGCTAGGGAAGATTTCAGACGCCGCACCCTTAATATTGAGTTCCTTGTAGCTCCTGGTAAATCTAGCCCACTCCTCACCCCCCACCCCCCGCCTCCCCAATCTGTGGTCTTGTTCGCGATTTCTTACTTGACATAAAATTCCTTGTTACCTAATCATGGACTTCATTCCAAAGCCCTCGGCCCCACCCCAGCCCGCTCAGATGAGAATCCTCCGAGCTAGATTACAAGCAAAACCTCCTGCTTTCCTTTTCTTTTTTTCCTGCCTTGGATAAAAGCACCCCAGCCTGGTTCCTGCCGCTGTAGTAAACGCCTGGGGTCTGCCTCACACCTCCTCCAGGGAAAATGGGCCTGTCCAAACAAAAACCCAAGCCCCCACCTCTCGGCGTCTGGTTGATTTCAGGAAGAGGAAGACACCTTTCCACTTTCTGGGGGAAGTGCAGGAGGGTCTTGCCCAGACCCTCCTTCTAAGGACCACTCACTGGTCTCCTGGCAGCTGGAGGATACGGAAGGAGCCGCTGAGATAGTGCTCAGGCCCCAGGACAGGATTTCCATAACTCCTGCCTTTAACAGAACCTCCTGGCCCTTCCTGGATCACAGGTCATGCTGATTGATAGGAACTACTGACTCTTTCAAATAAAGTTACAGGCAATTATGATAATTTAGTTTACTTCTGAATATTTTAAATATTATGAAAACAAGTATAACAGCATTGTTTTCAAAACTCCTTTGAGGTATCAACCATTAAAAGATTAGGGTTTGTAAAAAAAACACACACAGTGGTTTATTGAATACTTACAACGTTTACACCTTCAATATTAATTAAATTCCACTTAGTTTTAGAGGACGGAAGTGCACGAAACAAGCAGCTGTTGGAAACATCTTCGAATAAGAGACAACCACAGATGAAAGGCCAGCACTAGATACTGACCCCAATGGAAATGTTAGCGGCCCTGTTTTCTGCTTTGAAATAAAACTTTATAATCCCCAGGAATATTTATATCCAAAGGCCAAGTATTAAACATACACTTCACGTACACACTAGTGTTCGCTGTCTTTATCTGGAAGGGATTAGGTGGCTGGGAATGGGGTAACGCTGGTGTCTACACAGCCAAGAGGAAACATTCACACACAGAGAACCTACGGGACGACGGGATCCCTTACCACGCGCGCGTCCTCTTCCTGTTAAAATATGGAATGCTTTTCTTCAAATATCCATTTTTTTTTTTTTGGAGAGGGAAGCGGGGAGCAGATGCTTCAAAGGGGGACAAAAAGAGGGGGAAGGAAATTGCACATAAATAAACCGGATGATTCCAAATGCGAGAAGTCCTCAGAGCTGAGTGCCGAGGGCTTGCCTGGAGTCCTGGGTGTGTGTCTGGCGCCCTGGCCCCCAGCTCGCTCGCTCTGTCCTCCACCTCTTCTTCCTCACTGCTTGAGCTCCAGGGCCCAGACGTGCTGCGGCCAGCCTGTCCGGCCTTTGGTTTTCTTGTCGTTGCTGCTCACTGTGCTTTTCAAGATTTCATTCTGGGCAGAGAGGAGGCGAGGGTGAGAAGAGTGGAAAGAGACATTCAGAGAGGATACTTGCTTCCAATCTACCCTAGCGCTTCCTGGGCCAAAGGAGAGCTCCAGAGGAACTGACTGGAGACGGGGGTGGCTCCCAGTCCCAGCCCCTGCAGAAAATCTAGGAAGGTCTGCGCTGCCCTAGCTCCAACCAAGGCTTCCAGGCCGAAAGGCTCAACTACCGGATGGGCAAGTTTATAAACAACCGCCCGTTTTCCAGTCGTTTATGGAGAAGCTGGGGGCCCTTTTTTTTCCCTGACTCCAGATGTAGAGGTGGGAGCGAGGGTTGGCGCTAAATCTGTTTTCTCTGTTTTCAATAGCAAGCCCAGATCCATGCAGTAAGAAAAATGGGGCACAGGCTTGTCCGTCCTGGCCGGGGCCTTTCTCCCTCTGGCCCAGCAGTGCCTCTCCTCCAAGGCCTTTGAAATCTCCCATTATTCTGAAGGTTGCCACCAGTTTAGTTGGTGACCAAAGGACTGAAGGCCCCCAAGATGGAAAACCCAGCAAATGGAGTTATTTTCCAGGCCCTTCTTAGCAGTAGCCCTCTGGGCCCTTGGTAGGAACCCTGACCAGCTGGGTACAATTTCATCTTATTGCTAATAACAACAGCCATGGCAACATTTGCGTTTTTGTTTTAAACTGTACAGGCTCATTCAAATAAAACTAGATATATCCGTGCAGTATACTCATGTGGGAAACTGCATCTATACTTCACAGCCAAAAGCAACACTGGAACTGTATTTTGAAGTCTGGGCCCTGGAGCTTCTTTTATGTGTACCTTTATGTCTTCTGGCCACAGCCATAAGAACAAGCACAAACTCTCTTAGGGCTCATAATCAGGGGCAGCCTCACTCCCAAATGAGACCAACAGTGAAATAATCGGGAGAACTTCTCAGAGACTCATTCTAGAAATATCTGAAAGCAATACCGAACTGGAGGCCAAGGGAAGGCTCTAAAGGTTACGCGGAATGAGGGTTTCAGGCCGGTGTGATCCGGCGGGGTAGCGGGACCATCGAGGCTCATCCTGGGTGCCTAGGGGAGCAGCGGCTAACCTGGGGGGAAGGTGGCGGGGTGGGGAGGGGGGAGACCACTGGCGCGAAGCATCTCCTAAGATCTCCTCCAGCTGACACCCTCCCCCATCTCCTCTGCTAAGGCAGGAAAGCTTTCCTACCAAAACCTGGTGCAAACACCCCTGGCGCAGGACGCAGCCCCAAAATGTGGGCTCTCATTCCTCAGCCCAACTGGAAAGCTCTAGGGAGCACCGTCCCCGGAACCTCGCACCTCCAACCTCCCGCCTGCCCCCAGGTACTGACCAGCTCCTTCTTCCTCTTCTCCTCTTTCACGTCTGTCTTCTTGATCTCCGCCTTGAAGGCCTCCGCCTCGCCGTTCTGGTCGTCCTTGGCCAGCAGGTCCATGAGGTAGGCGATATAGCTGGTGGCCAAGCGCAGCGTCTTGATCTTGGAGAGCTTGGTGTCTGCGGGCACGTTGGGGATGCACTCGCGCAGTTCGGCGAAGGCGCTGTTGATGCTCTGAGTCCTGCGCCGCTCCTTGCGGTTGGCGGTACCCCGGCGCTTCACCGGGCGCGGCCCCCCCAGGCCCGGGGGCCCGGCGCCCGGCGGCACCCCCCCGTAATGGGAGTGGTCCAGGCCGGCGGCGCCGCTGGCATACTCCGGACTGTAGGACAGGGCCATGCTGTAGTCGGGGGGCGACATCTCGGGGTGGCCGATGAGCCAGCCGTGGAAGTAGGGGTTCTCCTCGTGGCTGCAGCGGCTGGCGGCGGCGGCGGCAGCTGCGGCGGCGGCGGCGGCAAACGGGTAGCCCTCATGGTGCACCACCGGGTGGTGGGGGAAGCCCCCCACCAGACTCATCTCGCCCTCCGCGCCCCTCCACGCGCCCCAGCGTGCGCGCAGCCCAGCCGCGCCCTCGACCCGGGCCTCGGCTTCGGCGCTCCGCGTCCTCCCCCACCCCCCACCCCCCAAACCCCGGGCGCCCGGGCCGGCTCGGCAGCCGCAGAGGGGGCTGCTGCAGCCCGGGCCCCGGCCCCCCTCCTGGCCAGCCGGGCCTGCTTCAGAGGCGCTGCGGCCACCGGCTCCCCATGGGGCGCGGCGAGCTGGTCCCGGCACCGTGCGCCCCCGGCTGCTGCCGCCGCCGCCGCCGCCGCCGCCGGCTCCCGCCTAGCTCCACAGCCCGCGCGCCGGCTCCTGCTTCCCGGGCTGCTGCGCGGAGGCAGAATCCTCTCGTGCTCATGCAAAGGTGCCCGGGCTCCTGCGAGGCTGCTTCGCGGAGTCCCAGGACTCCACGCCGGGGGCGCGCCGCTGGCGCCGAAGCTAACCCAGAATCCGGGGACGAGTCCGAGCCGCGGCTTGGAGGAGCCGGCCCGGCTCTGCAGGGCGGCTGCGGCGGGGTCGACTGCTCTCAGCAAAACGACCTCCGTGCGACCCTCCCCTTCCCGCCTCTTCCCCTCCCCCACCAGCCCGATCTGGGTTCTTGGGCGCTTATTGTTTTAATGAAATTTTTGGTGGTTGTTTTGGTCCTTGAATGTGATTTTAGCTGCGAGTAACGTGTCCACGCTCCTCTCGGGCTCTTTCGATGGGTTTTCAGAGAGGTCTCAGTGCATCCATTTTCTCAGATCCTCTCCTTCTTTCGGGGCAAGGATCTGGGGCCCTGAAGTCGGCGCCCTGCAGCTCCAAGGCAGCGGCTCGGCCTCTCGGAGGGATGTGCGCGGTGGCCTAGGGGGCTCCCGGGCGGCGGCGGCGGGTCTCCTGGGCTGTTCGCGGGAGCAAGCGGATTTTCCCAGCAAGATCTCCATGTACAGCTACATCTTTAGGGCCGCTCGGGTTAATATATGTCGTCAGAGGCTCCTCACGCCAATCCCGGGGCGGCGGGGGCGGCGCCTCGCGTTCTCCGCAATAAAACTTTTTGATGTTCTCGTTGCTAATTGCCGAGGTCCTCTTCCAGGATTGGCTGCTCCCTCATAACCATAAGATAATTAAAACGAAGGGGGGCAGGGTTAAAAAAACTTTTTTATCAGCCAGAGGTTAATGCAAGTGTTTAACAGATGCTTCACTATTAAAATATTTTCCCCCCAAGTCTCAAATATTGAAGAATCTCAAACCAGGTACAGTATCACTGCTCTTTCTTTTCTGGTTAAAAAAGAAAAAAAAAGAAAAAAAGAGAGAGAGAGAGAAAAAAAAAAGAAAAACCGCAGACAGTTCTTGTCGAAGTGTTTTGTAGGTAACCGAAGCAAGAAGATAAGCAGCGGCCTCGTGCAGTTTGCGTACGGGGCGGGGGGAGGGAGGCCAGGGCAGAGTGGCAGGCGGCAGCGGCCCCCGCTGCGGGGCCGCTGGAGTGGTGGGCGCAGTGTCCGCGGCGAGCGCGCACCGAGCGCTGGCCTTTCCCCTGGCACACGCTGGGAAACGCCCGTCTCGCCTGCTATCTGCTTAACCCACCACAGTATCCCGGTCAGAGCTGGATTGTTTTTTGGGAGAGGTGGGGGCTCCTGTTATTGAGGCCTCTGTTGGAGCTACTGCTGGCGACCTCCGTCCAGCCGGTCATCCACGCTCCCATTTCCCACTCTTCAGAGAGAGCCGCCCCCAGCGAAGACCTTGGCCGGTTTCGAGGTGTGGGCACCTCGGTTCCCCGAATCTGTGGTGTGGCCGCTATCGGTGTTCCCCTGGTTTAACTAGCCTGTTTGGTAAGTAACTGAATATTTTTTACAGCGTGTTCAGAGCTTATTTTCCCGTTTTTATGAACAAACATATAAATATATCTCTGCATTCCTGCCTCCCCCATAAAAGCGGGCATCTGTGGAAAGCAGGTTTAGTGATCGGAGGGGAACCATTAAACGCCCGTTTAAGAGGCAGGCCGGGAGGACGGCTCGTGGATGTTTAGACTGCCGGCCCCGGTGATCTTGAACGCATTAGAACGGAAAATGCATCTCCACTTGTAAGTCATCGGGCCGCGGGGCACCCAGGCCGCGGCGCCCGCGTGGCGTGAGCGTCTGGAGAGGGCTGGAGCGCGGCGCGCGGGAGCGAGGGCCACCGACAAAAGCTGAAATCGCCCCCCGGGGGGCTTGGCCACGAGCAGGGGCTCGTGTGTCTTCGGTGTAGGAAAGGGGTCAGCGGGGGCTGCGTAGGAAGAAGTCGAGGGCACGGTGGACAGAGGCCGGTGCGGGCAGAGGTGACCTGGGAGTGGCCTGTGGGCCCGGCCAGGGTAGCCTAAGGGCAACCAATGACTCCACCTGGGGCATCGCCCTGCCGAGGTAGGCATGTCTGCCGCAGGCCAAGGAAGGAGCCTCTCGCACGAACGAAGACCCTCCTGTCCTTGCCGGCGGGTTGCTGGCCGCCGAGGGTACGGTTGGGGCTGGAAGGCCAGGTCAGCCTGCATGGAGGGTGTGCAGCTCCAGGGCAGCCCAGAACTCGGGGCCCGGGCTCTGCCGGTCGCTAACCTTGGAGCTCTGGGCTGCAGCATTGGGAAATACTCGGATTTGCCGCGGCTGTGCTTTAGGAGAAGGGAAGAAACACGTGAAGGATGTAAAAATCCAGGCTGGGAGTCTGCAGGACCCGTTTTTTTTTCCTTTGGGTGAGAGGAAATTTTCCTGGGATCTCCCAGCAGAACATCTTAAGGCAGAGAACGGGATGAAAGCAAGCTCCTTGGTAAGCTCCAGGAGTTTGCGTAGGCTGGGAACCAAACAGCGACCTCGGTTGGGTGGGTTTGCCGTTTTCAGCACAAGGAGAATCTTTTAAAGACCCGGTTCTCCAAGGAGAGAATACAGGTAGTGTGTTTACATTTTCACAGGGAAGCAAACCCTGAATGTGTAAATACTGGTAGTCCAATCCCCTGAAATTTGATACATTTTTAAAAGTCTGTTTATAAAAACAGGTTTAGGCCTTGGGAGCAGGTAGACAAAGCAAGATGGTTGGGTCAAGGGAAAGTAGTTGGTGACTGTTTTCAGATCTAGAGTTTTGGGGATTGAAGGGAGGGAGAAAAATCAAAGGAGGGCTGGGTTGGGGACCGCAATGCTCCGTTCACCAGAGATGAGTGGCTTCTCTTGCAAAAGCTTCAGAACTCACCACTGTTAGCCTTTCTCATGCTCTTTTAATTGAAACAAACAAAAAAATGGGTGAATCACTTCATGGCTCCAGATGGCATCACAGTGATAAAAGAAATGGACAACATGGGACAGCAAAAGTCGTAAAAGATCTAATCTGAACATCAGTTCTCACTGACAGCATCATTATCAGTTAATTACCACAGTCCAAGGGTCTAAGGCCTCACGTATCTCAGAAACCCAAACCCAGGGGCTATCATCATAGAAAGGCAGGCCTGCAGGAGGCCTGGAGAGAGGGGACAAACAGTGAACTCTAGGGGTATGCACACATTGCAGTAACTGACTCTTGGAGGCAAAACTGGCCTTGACTGACTGAGCTCTCCCAGGTGCATCTATTTTTTTCCTTTCTGTGTCCTTTGCCGTGTTGTACTCCAGGTGTCCCGCGATGTTGAGTCCACCAGGCACTTTGAAAAGCTGCAAAACCAAGATGCCATGTCAAGCTTGCCCTTCATTGAGGTGGCCTGTACCTCTAGGAGTGGTTATGGAGGAGAAGTTGGTGCTGGTGATGAGGGACAAAGAGAAGGAAGGAAGGGAAAAGGCTACAGTCCCAGCTGCATCAACCTGGGAAACCCACCCCTGCCTGGGCTGTAACAGTGTGGCTTCTGCTGTGCTGCTCTCCAACCCCGCTATTGCCTACAATACTCAGTGGGCTCAGGGAACTGAGACAGTGCCAACGGAGGACCCGCCTGGGAATCCACAGCAGGCAGCCTAGTGAGGGAACTTGTCTGCTTCGATGGGAGGCTGGGGATTGCACTGCTGCAATCCTCAGTCCCTGGATCCGAAGGCTGCTTCACGGGGCAGTAGCCTGGGTTTGGCAGGGTCCTTGTGATGCTGCTCCGTGGTCTTCCTTGTGGCTGATGGTGTCCCTGCTGTGCTGCACATTGTGTCTGCACACAGCCACTCGCAGAACCCAGAACCCGATTCAAACAGCTTTTTGCGCCCACGTCTGTTGTCTCCTTCCCTTCACTCCCACTATTTCCCCTGGAGAAAATTCAAAGAGCCCGAGGAGAAGCTGAGCACTCCCTTGCAAACATTTTGGTCTTGTGAGATATTACTTTTAAAAATCAATCTGGTTTAAACTAAATATTTTTTTTAAACTTCAATCTGTTTTTAGGGGAAAATTCAGATCTTTTGAGGTATTTATTATTTCAAAGGCAAGAGCAGTTTTGTATCTTGTGTTTTGCTCATGAGAACTCAAAATAAACTGGACCTGAAAAGAACCAGGCCAGAGGCCATAAACACACATTTTATATTTACAGGAATTATGGCTCAGTTCCCTTCGTCATCTTCGAATCTCATTTTACCTTATTTTCCTAACCTCGTAGAAGTGATTCTGAGCGTTCCCTTCAGTAAGTACCACACTGTTATATAAGGCAAGCTGAGAACACGCTAAGAACCCCAGAAAGAGCATCAAGCCTGGAAGGTGACAGAAAAAGCAATATGTTCCTGAAGGGGTAGTCTCAGCCCTGCCTGCTGTGAGGACAGTGCTGCTGGCGACACACTGATGACTCTGTCCTGAGGTGGGAGTCACCTAGTCCTAGGAGGTGTGGGATGTGTATCTGAGTGGCAGTGGGAGCTTCCTCTTTCTGGGTTTTTTCTTGGTTTCTTTTTGGGAAATGGTTGTCTACAGATTGGACAAGTGACAATAGCTCCAGAAATGTGGTGGTGCTCAAAGCAGACAAGGCAGAATCAAGTTTGGTTGGAATTTTATGTCTATTTCAAAAATGAAGGGCATGAAAAGCCGCCTTCCACTCTTTATTTCTTTATTTCTTCTGAGCAAATTCTTTTTGGATTTTGGAGGTGGGGGCAGGGTCTTTGGGCGAAGGAGTTCCCTTTCCTCCTCCTTCCCATCCAGAGCAGATCTGTGGAGCTAGAAGGGGGAGGTACTGCCCTGCTGGCTGCAGAGGGGCTGACTGGGAATTAATTAAGTCTGGAAGTGAATATTCAGGTTGAACTGCAAATTCAAAGGAGCAGTGGAGAAAATCAGGACTCTTCCCTGCCTGTACATTTCCCCCCTGCTCTCTCCACTCCCTTGTTCTTTCCCTTCCTCCTTTGCCATTTGTCCTCAAACGTTTGGATCTACAAGGATTTTTTTTCCCCTGTTGCTGAACCTTAGACTGATGTGCAAGAATGAGATACTGGTTCATCTTTAAGTCCTTGAAGAAAAATCTTAATGTCTAGTATTACAAGCTTCAGGTTTTCCATTTTCCCCAAATAATCGATGACTAGATCCCCACATTAAGTGGTAGATAATCTTACTGCTCTGGAGCATTTTCACTGATAAAGGAGAACTAACTACTTTGCCAGGCATTCAAGTCTGTCTGTAAAGCTAAAATATTTGTTCAGAATAAAGGAAACCTATGACAGTGTTGTGAAGATGCCCCATCTCAGGCACCATGAGGTGTGTACATGGGAGGTGATAAATCTCATCTCTGTGAATCTTTGCTAATTTGTAGTAATGCATAGGGTTAGAGCAAAAGTAGCATAAGATAAAAATGCCTCCCACAGGATGTATGCTGAATATTCATCCACATTATTGTTTCAAGCAAATTGCCTACACAAAGCAATATTTTCTTCTTAACTGGGAGGAAATATTCAATATCCACTTCAGATTGTCATTGTGATTTTTCATATATACTCCATGAAAATAGAAAGGAATAGACTCAACTAGTATGCAGTGCAAATCTGGTGTTCTGAATAAAATATGAGCACAAATCACAACGTAAACTATGGGGCATTGGAGAAACCATTTATGTGGCCGAAATATTTGCTTGTGACTTGAGGTGGGGGTGCATTCCCAGATCTCACCGCAGTGTTGGTCACATTCCTGGGAAGCCCTGTTTTGTGGTTTCCTTTGCAAATTCACGGAGATGGATTCCTTTAACTCTGACAGTTTCTTCCAAATCTTTCCTACATTCTTCTAGGGCCTTTTCTTATAGACAAGGGACTTGAGCCAGGATGGTTAGGTTTCAGGTTAACAAAAAGAAACACTTTTATTGTCAATATTAATGGCAAACCTCGATTTTTACAAGGCTTGGGTTTAGCAGCATGAGCAGATCAAAAGCAGCTTGGCTTGATTTCTCCATATTCTCTGGAGCTTAGACAATTAACTGCAATTTTGCTGCTAACGAAACAACACAAAAAGTTAGTTACAGAAATGTTAAAGTTCATCTTTTAGCAGAGATGTTAACCTGTGTGCAACATATCAGAATTTCATAAATTTATCCCCGGATCTTGAATTGAGTTTTAAAAAGAAACTCCTCAAGAAAGTGTTGCATGAACAGTGTCCTCATTTGCAATGGCGAGATCTGTTTCAGTGTGTGCAGTACACCCTCGCTCTCTGGCTGGCGGTGTAAGGATCCGGCAGACTGAGGTCTCCCTGGTAATTTGGGTACACCGAGTCTCCAGTTAATGATAGATAATCAGCCTTTGGGTCATTCGGTCATTCTCTTATTACAAACTCCTCCTGCTCTCTCTGATCTCCTTTCAAACTAAATTTCACACAAACAAATAAAGCAAGACAGGGACAAGTTCTTAAAAAAAGAGGGAGAAATATTAGAAACTCCTGATACAGAACTCTAAAC